TATTATTTTTATAGATATATTGGAAAAGACTCGATTTAATTGTATTAACCTAGTTGCTTTTCAAACTATTTGTCTCAATAGCAAGAAAAGTTCTTACCTTTTCTGATAAAGATATATGAAATTCGATTATGGGATATTCTTTATTGAAGACATTTTCTCTTAAAATTTTATAGAGTTAGACTGTATTGGGATCTTTGGTTATATCATCAGGGGTAAATAGTTATTAATGGCTTTTTCACCATATTAAATATTCTTTTACTCATCTATAGGATCCATTTCTTTTATTTTTTTGATTCATGATGGAAATTTTGTTTAACAAAATAAAAAATAAACCTTGTGAAGTTGATCATAACATCAAGTTTGGAAGGATACCCAACAAATAAGAAAAAAGAGCTCTACTATTATATAAAGAGAGAATGACAAAAAAGCTAAATACAAAAATGAAAGAATATGGAGAAAAACATAATGAAATACTAGAATAATAAGGAAAAGCTGTGTATATGAAGACAAATACACACAGAACAAGTAAGATTCCTAATTACTGTTTTTTTGATTAATGGAGATATTCAAATGTCAAATGTAAAGAACATAAAGGAACACTTATGAATAGAGATCACTTAATGGAACATTTGAGATCTTTTCATAAAAAAGGAAGAGAATGGCGGAAAAATTAACACAACTAAAATACAATAGTTGAACTGATCGTGAATTATTCATAAAAACTATAAAACTATATAAAGAATTTCTTTTATTGTTCTGAAATAGTTTAAGAAGTTTCTCAATAAAAATTATTGGTCTTTTTGACTTGTGGCAAATATGTTTTTTTTAATCTTTTAAATGGCATTTTGCTCTTTTATATTATTTAATTGAATGTTAAAAAGATAAAACAATTTAGAAGACGAAATTTGTTTAAGTTAAAGCATTTACTTTAGAGAATTTGCATAAATAAAATTGTTTCAATTGTCTTTTAAAATTTAATTATTTCAAGCCATAAAATTATACGTTTGCGCTTTATTTATCATTTCTGGTTTGGTTTTCTTTGCAAGTTTGTATCTTTATGACAGTATTTTATGATATTGGAATAGATTAATATAAAAAATCAATAGGGTTAACTCATGCAAAACTAGAGCATTACTATAATTTTTGGCCTAATTTTTCAGCCAATTAGTTAAAGTTATTCATAAATTTAAAAACTAGAAATCAATGAAAATAATGCTCTTAAATTGAAGATAGAATAGGTGAGGGCATTTTTCAAGCGTTTAAGGTTTAATGTTATCGATATTCTATGAATTAGGGATATGGAATTATAATGTGATAATTATGACGCTTTTGATTCATACTCTTTAAAGTTTAATGAAGATACATATCCTCAAGTACAATGGATTTCTTTTAGAACTTCACACCTTCCTTAAGTTGACCTTTTAAGGTGTGTGAACTCCTATTCGGAACTTTACCTGTATGATGTTATCTGTGAAAAGTTTCAAGCCAAAGAGGCAAAAAATTATGATAATGTACAGAATTCTAAGAAAATTTTATTCTTTACAAAGAAAAATTTATGACTTAAACAAATTGGGTTCAAATTGTAAAAAATTTTGAGAACAAAATTATAGTTCCGAAAATTTAAATAATAAAAGGTTTTGAACTGAAATTTAGCCTATTTTAGATTGAAGGAATATTTCAATTTTCAATTTTAGAAAAGAATTGAAAACAATAAAATTTTCAAGATCATACATACATATTAATATCTCAAGGATAACAGAGATGCTACCTAAAATATAGAGCTAAATAATCTAATTGCTATGTTAAGAATTTTAATTCCACAAATTTTTAATACAATAGTTTAATCTATTTAATTAAAATTATCACATTCTGATTTGATAGGCAACTTGCAAAATAACTTAAAAAATAACTTTGAAAATCCTTTTGTTTATCTCAATATCTTATATGAAGCTACTAAGGATTTTAAAAATTAAACTATGATGGAAATATTTGGTAATGTTGTTCTTATATTGATATCCTTATTTTTGATTTAGCTACCAGTTTTTAATTCAATTGTTACAATCTTAGCAATAATTGCTGAACTGAGTTTTATATGGAGTTAGTCTGATGAAAGTCTTCTCTCAAAATGTGGAAAAACAGTGTGGACAGTAGCTTAATTAGGGATTGGAATACTTCCAGGTTCTTAATTATTAAAATTGATTTTTCATTTTATCTCAGATATAGCAAAAAAATTAGGCATTGTAGAAACAAGTGATAAAATATATATTGGTTGTCTTACAACTGCAGGAGCTATTGGAGGAGGATTTTTAGGAAAATTTATTGGAGGGACTGTTTCACTTACTTAATATGGAACTGTTATGAAGGTGGTAGGTACAATATTAACCTTTGCGTCAAGTCCAGTTGTCATTGGTACTGTAGTTGGTGCTCTGTTTATGGCATCCCTATACATAGGTATAAAATTTTATCAAAAGTGGAAGTGATTTTAATTAGATTAATTTTATAAGGCAATCAAAAACTACTATAAATTAATTTTAAGAGTATTTTTAGCTTTCTAAACTATTTTGTTTTGAATCGTTTAGAATTGTGATAATTTTTCTTAAGAATTCTAATCATAAATTTATCCAAATTTTTTGGAAAACATACAGGTTTATGGTTTTATAGCAAAAATCTGTTAAAAAAATCAGGCATACATGTTTTATAAATGATTTAAAACTGTGATTTGTGATGAAAAAATATTGGCAATTCTAGTCTTTTTGAAAATGAAGAGCCTTGAAAGATTACAATTATCAGATTATCAATTAATAAAACAATTTAAAAACATAATTTGCATCTTTTTTTACATATTTGTTTCCAATACTTAAATGAGAATTTTTGTAGAAATTATAAATTATTATCACTATATTTTATATTATATTATCTAATGATGGATCCATGTTATTTTTTTT